TCTTCAGTTAACCACCAAAAAACCAGAAGTAAAGATATATGGCTCAGTGGTAGAGCACTGGCCTTGAATATAAAAGCTCAGGGAGAGCACCCAGGCCCTGGGTTCAAGCCCCAGGACTGGCACATACACACATACAAAAAACAAAAACAGGGGCTGGGAAGGTGGCTCAGTGGTAGAGCGCTTGCCTTGCATGCATGAGGCCCTGGGTTCGATTCCTCAGCACCACATAAGCAAAAAGAAAAAAGCCAGAAATGGCGCTGTGGCTCAAGTGGTAGAGTGCTAGCCTTGAGCTGAAGAGCTGAGGGACAGCACCCAGGCCCAGAGTTCAGGCCCCATGACTGGACCCCCCAAAAAAAACAAAAACAAAAACAAAAACAAGAAGGCTGGCCTCTGGTGGCTCACACCTGTAATCCTAGCTACTCATGAGGCTGAGATCTGAGGTAAACAGTTCAAAGCCAGCCAGTGCAGGAAAGTCCACAAGACTATTATTTCTAATTAACCACCAGAAAACTGAAAGTGGAGCTGTGGCTCAAGTGGTAGAGCACTAGCCTTGAGTAAAAAAAGCTCAGTGACAGTGCCCAGAATTGAGTTCAAAGTCCACAACAAAAAACAAGCCCTGACCCCCAAAGAAGAAGAGGAAGAGGAAGAGGAAGAAGAGGAAAGAAGAAGAAGAAGAAGAAGAAGAGGAAAGAAGAAGGAGAAGAAGAAGAAGAAGAGGAAAGAAGAAGGAGAAGAAGAAGAAGAGGAAGAAGAAGAAGAAGAAGAGGAAAGAAGAAGGAGAAGGAGAAGAAGAAGAAGAAGAAGAAAGAAAGTCAAAGTGTCAGATGTCCAAGTAGACATAGGGACCAGGCTATTTTGGGGAAAAAGTGTTTTTTTTTTTAATTGTTGTTATTGTTGGTGAGTGTGAGTGTGTATGTGTATGCATGGCTGACTGGCTTTTAAAGAATTCTTGGTTTCTACGTAAATGTGTGCCTGAGTGTGTTAAGGGACTAAAACGCCATCCAGGTTTCTGAGTTGGAAGGCTGATTAATCTCTCTGCCAGTTACATATGGAAATAAATTAGTAAATGGTTCATCTGGGACTAAACTACTGCAGAGATGATAAATGATCGCCCTGGTGTGTGTCGGTGTCATAAAGACGGAGTTGTGTTCACTGGGGTGGCTGAGAGATGACTCGATCCTCTATTGTGGTTGCACGAATGAAATCTGAGGGAAAGAAAAGGATGCCTGGAAAATTTACCTTGAAATGTTTCTCAGGAGAATGGATTGGTGGATGCCAAGTTTGTTCCTCCGAACTGCTGTATCTGCAAATGTTTCAAAGGAGAGTCTCAAGGGCACGAAGAACAACACTGTAGTTTTGTGTTTTCAAAGGCCAGTGCAATAGCAAGTGTTCATTAGCGCCCAAGGTCTGGATAAGGAGAACTCTATGTGTATTTCTATCATTTTCATAGAGCTTCTTAACTAGGTTTTTTATTTAAATTTCAAAAATGGTTGGGCAGGTCATGCCCCCCTTTTATTTCTCTCTCTTCCTTTCTCTTTCCTTCCTTCCTCTCTCCCTCTTTCCCTTCTTTCTTTCTCTTTTTCTTCCTTTCTCCTTCCCTCCCTTCCTCCCTCCACCCCCTCTCTCTTTCTTCCTTTCCTTTCCCCCATATCTGGGCCTTGAACTCAAGTCTCTTCCCTCCCTCCCTCCCTCCATCCCTCCATCCCTCCCTCCCTCTCTCCCTCCCTCCCTCCCTCCCTTCCTTCCTTCCTTCCTTCCTTCCTTCCTTCCTTCCTTCCTTCTTCCCTTCTTTTCTTTCCCTAGTACATGGGGCTTGAACTCAGCGCCATGGTTCTGTCCTTGAGCTTCTGTGCTCAAGGCTAGTGCTTTACCACTTTGAGCCAGAGCTCCATTTTCATCTTTTTGGTAGTTAATTGAAGATAACAGTCCCATCAACTTTTCTGCCCAGGCTGGCTTTGAACTGCCATCCTTAGATCTCAGCTAGGATTACAGGTGTGAGAGCCCAGCACTTGGCCAAGTATACTTTTGAATCAGGTTTCCTTTCAATCAGAGCCTGTTGCAACATCAAAAACATTTCCCATGTCCCATATTCATTTACCAAAAACAGAAAATAAAGCATTCTATGTGTGTCAGTTTTCTAGAAGCAGAAGGCACAACTTCTTTATCATGAAAAGTACTTGTTTTCTCCAAACAGAGGCGTTAAATTAATATTAGTATCACTTTTCTTTGGGAGCCAGGACTCCACCCGCTGCAGACATACCATTAACACCTTGAATTATGTTATGAAGTTAAGCCCCTGCTGGCCAGCTGGTCACAAGGGCTTTTAGATGAGGTCACATTCTGCCCCTTGCAGAATGGCCTAGGGCTCCTGTGACATCCCAAGTCTGTGCCTACTTGCCATTTTTCTTTTGTGTTCTTCCTCCTGGGTGGATCTTCAGCTGTGAATCTTTCAAATGGCCAGAGAGGCTCTGTCCTAGAAAATGCAGAGCCCAGAGAACAGAAAGGTAAACCGGAGATAGAAATCTCTAAGTCTTACCACACATCACCTTCTAAACATGTCGGCCTGGGGTGGGGTGGGGGGGCGCAATGTGATCTATACACCCCCCAAAATGTCACAGCCCCTGCAGCTCCCTTTTTGCTGTTGGACATGACCTTGATTGACCCGGATCATCTTCGAGTCTCTCTCACATCAGCCAGACCTGGTTACTCTGTGTCCCGAGCAGCCCTTAGTTTCTGCCTGTCCCCATCCTGGCCCAATGCCAAGGCCCTTAATGACTGCCATTGTCTTAATGATCATGTCCTTTACCATCGTCCTTCAACCCAACCTGAATCAAATGCATAGTCAGAGCCCTCTAGCCCATTGAAGAGATAATACTGACCTTGTGTTAAGAGGCCAATCTAGGCCCTGTGTTTGCTAATGAACAACACACTGTTTAGGCAAGGACCTTCATCTCCTGCCCTCTCCGGCTCTTCCTCCTTCCCCATTTCCTAGCTCATTGCTCCGTCTTTACTGGAGCTTAAGCAGGAAGTAGAGTACTGTAATCTTTGTTTTTTTGTTTTTTTTTTGTCGGTCGTGGGGCTTGAACTCTGGGCCTGGGCGCTGTCCCTCAGCTCTTCAGCTCAAGGCGAGCGCTCTACCACTTGAGCTACAGCGCCACTTCCGGTTTTCTGGTGGTTTATTGGAGATAGGAGTCTCAGGGTCTCTCCTGCCCAGGCTGGCTTTGAACCGCGATCCTCATATTTCAGCCTCCTGAGTAGCTAGGATTACAGGCGTGAGCCACCAGCGCCCGGTGAGTACTGTAATCTTATGTATCCACCTATGCAAAGACAAGTTACAGCCTGATGCCAGTGACTCACACCTGTAATCCTAGCTTCTCCAGAGGTTGAGATCTGAAGATTGCAGTTCAAAGCCAGCCGCAGGCAAGAAATTCTAGGAGATTCTTATCATCAGCCATTTAAGCAGCCAGAAGCTGCTTTGGCTTTGGTAGAGGGCCAGCCTTGAGCAAAAAAGCAAAGGGATGGCACGTAGGCCCTAAGTTCAAGCTTCAGCATGGACACAAGAAAAATAAACAGGGGTCTGTGTGTGTGTGTGTGTGTGTGTGTGTGTGTGTGTGTGTGTGTGCGCGCGCGCACGTGCTCAAATGATTTATCCCAGGCATACCAGATTCTCTTGGAGGCTTGGGAAATATACTGATTTCTAAACTCCCCTTTCCAGATCTTTTGTTTAGATGTAACTTGAGTCAGAGCCAGGAACTTGCATATCCAACAGGTTCTTTCATGGTTGGTGGGTTGGTTCTCTGGTGATGGTAGAGGTGTTCTCAGGAACACAGTTTGAGAACTGCTGATTTAATGAATGTGTTTTCTAACTCACTAAATGTCGTTTATTGATTTGTCATCCTTGAGTCTGGGCTAAAATATATATTACATATATATATATATATTCTATCAGAAATGATTACACAGTCTGTCTCAAATACCAGTTTACTGTTTTGCGGTGTTATTGGTCAACTGAAACCAGATAACTTGCAGTTCATTTAGTGAACCAAACCCCAGGACTAGAAGCAGAGTCAGCATACAGCTGTTGCCTTCCCAGCCTGTAACTTGGTCTGTGCAGTGGATCAAGGCTGACCAGCGGGTGGAACTCCAGCCTTGACCACTTGTTGGTGCCCTGAGGTGTTTGTTTAGATAGATAAGCTTCTCAGAAGTATTTGTAGAACCCAGCTCTGGTGACTCATGCCTATAATCCTAGCTGCTCCGGAGGCTGAGGTGTAAGAAGGCTGAGGTATAAAGATGCAATCGGAAGCCAGCTCCAGACAGAAAAGTTTGTTGAGATTTTTATCTTCAATCAATCAGCAAAATACTGGAAGAAGAGTTGTAGTTTAAGTGGTAGAGTGTCAGCCTTGAAGGTCAAAAGTCAAAAGAGTTTGAGGCCCTGAGTTCCCAGTACTGGCACCAAACAAAACAAAACAAAAATCTCCCAGCAACTGTAGTAAAAGAAAATAACCTCTGGGCTGGGAAGGTGGCTCAGTGGTAGAGTGCTTGCCTAGCATGCATGAAGCCCTGGACTTGATTCCTCAGCACCACATACACAGAAATGGCGCTGTGACTCAAGTGGTAGAGTGCTAGCCTTGAGCACAGAGAGGCTCAAGGACAGTGCCCAGGCCCTGAGTTCAAGCTCCAGGACTGGCAAACAACAACAACAACAACAAAACCCTCAAACATCTCAGTGGTAGTACTACTAAAATCAAATCATCTCTCTACATCTGTGGCACATATTTTCAAATTTCTGGGTTCTCTTACACCCCATAAGACAATTTCAGATACTGCCCATCCTGAAAATCTCCGTCCTTCAGCAATTGTCCAAAAAACAGAGTTGCTGTGCCAGTTGACTCTTCTCTGAGGTGTGTCATTGGTTAGGGTTGGGCCGAAGAAGACATCTGTGCTGGCTGAGAGGTCTTGCTGCTTCTCAACTCTAATCCCATCTTCCTTCTTCTCCCCAGCAGCCTCTAGAAGCTTCTAGCACTGAGTATGGAAGCGCCTTTGTGGGTTCTGTGAAGAGCAATGCTGACCTCCGTTTCGTGGACCCGTTCTGACTCAGGTAATCCCCTCCTGCCACGACTTCCCTGGATGCGTGTCTCAGAAGATGGCATTTGAATCCATGAACTGCCAAAACTATTGAAACGCAAATACCAAATTGATTGTTTCTTCTACTATAAGTGGCTGTCCCTCTCTTCCCCCAATCTTCCCAGTGATCAATTCTTGTCTCTGACCAGACTGACAATATGGTCAGTCCAATTTAGGCATTAAGAAAACACTGAATCACGTCTGGATTTGAAATTCTGATGTGTGTCTTAGCCTCACACAGAGGCCGCAGGTGTGCTGAGAAGTTCCGTGTAGAAAATTCACAGTATCTACTGCACTACTGTAAAATTACTTTCTTTCCAGAATACCATGTTCAATTCTATTAATCTTTCTAATGTCATAGCTTTCAGTTGGGTTGGGTAAGCGTTATTGATTACCTGTTCTGTGTTCTTGGGAGAGTCCCAGGTTAAAAAAAAAAAAAAAGAAGAATACAAGGCAGGTGGGTTCTTGTCTTCAGGGAGGGCACAGCCCCATTAAAGATTTACAATTTGAGCCGGGCACCAGTGGCTCTTGCCTGTAATCCTAGCTACTCAAGAGGCTGAGATCTGAGGATCGCAGTTCAAAGCCAGCCCTGGCAGGAAAGTCCATGAGAGTCTTATCTCCAATAAACTGCTCAGAAAACCGGAAGTGGTGCAGTGGCTCAAGGGGTAGAATGCTCACCTTGAGCTGAAGAGCTGAGTGATAGCACCCAGGCCCAGAGTTCAAGCCCCACAACCGACAAAAAAAAAAAGGATTTCCAATTTGATATCAGCTATTCTGGAGGCTGAGATCTGAGGGTCATGGTTTGAAGCCAGCTTGGGGCAGGAAAGTCCATGAGACTCTCCAGTGATTTGCCAAAAAAACCTGGAGGTGGCTCTCTGTGGCTCAAATGGTAGAGCGCTAGCCTTGAGCAAAAGGAGCTCTGGGACAGTGCCCAGGCCCAGAGTTCAAGCCCCAAGACACGCCCCCCCACCCCCAAATAAACAATTTGAGCATAAGAACTTGCATGCATGTGGCTCAGCTCAGGGTGGTACTGGGCATTAACTTTAACCCTCTGCTTTCAGAAATTGAGAGATATGGAAGATGGAGACTGAGATAGAAGATTAGGAATGAATTCATTGGCCAAGAAAGGGCTTCAGGCAGCTCTAAGTCTGGCATTTGTTTGGGCAGGCAGAAGGAAACTGGTAGTATGGCTCAAGTTTGGGAAGGCAGAAGTGCCCCTCGCTGAGCTTGGTGGCGGGGCCTGCCTGTCTGAACACAGTACTGACAAGACCTTGATCTTCGGGCCCAATCAGTCAGATTCCCTCTCAGAACTGAGTTCTTTAAGAATTCCAGAGCAGCTGGGTATCACTGGCTCATGCCTGTAATTGTAGCAGCTATTCAAGAGGCTGAGATTTGAGGATTGCTGTTTAAAAACAGCCCCGGCAGGAAAGTCTGTGAGACTTTTTATGTATTTATGTATTTATTTATTATTTTATTTTTTTGCCAGTCCTGTAGCTTGACCTCAGGGCCTGGGCTCTGTCCCTGAGCTTTTCTGTGTTCCAGGCTAATGCTCTAGCACTTGAGCCACAGCACCACTTTTGGCTTTTTCTGAGTAGCTGAGTAGTTTATTGGAGATGAGAGTCTCATGGGCTTTTTTCTGCTCAGGCTGGCTTTGAACCACAATCCTCAGATCTCAGCCTCTTGAGTAGCTAGGATTACAGGTGTGAGCCACCAGCACCCAGCTTCCAGGAGACTTTTATCACCAAAAAGCTGAAGTGGAGCTGTGGTACAAATGGTAGAGCTTTAACCATAAGCAAGAGAGAGAGGGAGAGAGAGAGAGACAGAGACAGAGAGACAGAGACAGACTGCAGAAATTGCTCTCAGGCCCTGAGTTCAAGTCCCAGAACGGGCAAAAACAAAACAAGAAGAATCCTAGTGTGAAGCCTCCTCTGATGGAAGCCACCTTTCTGGTGATAGTGGCCACTGCTGCCCAGCCCTGGCTTGCCTACTGCCTTGATTGTCTTTTCTGCTTCTCTAGGCCTGCATACAACCTGGCTCTGTCGTGCATTTGATTTAGTCTTGCATACACACCTGCCTTCTTCCTCCCGAAGCCTTGCTGGCACCCGTGGCCTGACAAGGTACTGGATGAACCATAGGTTGTGTGAGGTCAGCACCTGGCCTTCAAAGGTGCCACTAGGAACTGAGGAATTATAGCAGAGACTGGCTATGGAGAATGTCTCTAATTGATTCTGAATGCTTAAACTCAAGGCCGAAAGCTGGGACCCCAGTCATAGATGGGGAGCCAGGCACCCTGATGAAAGAGGATGAACACGTCTTGTCCACAGGGCTCTTTTTCAGGCTGCTTTATCAGGCAGATAACACCTTTGCTGCCCTGATCTGAAAATTGCCTTGAGAAATACCAGCTGAGACTCCCATTTTTCCCACGGGGAGGTAGCCTGGACCAGGCACCCACCTGGACATGCTGGGGGGTGCTCAGGAGCCCCAGGCACCAGCTCACTGGGAGCTCTGGCCTCCTATAATCCCGGCCCTGATAACCAGCCAGCAGGACAAAAAGCTAGGGGAGCTATTTGTGTTCCCTTTGTACTCCCCTGATTGCCTAAGAGAGTTGCTCCATCTCTTCTCGGCCTAGGCCAGGGGTCACCAAGTCTGTCCAGCCCACAGGCCGAGGACGGTCCATTGACAGTGCACAGTTGCTGAGCTGAGAAGGGTTCTTTGCATTTTCAAATGGCAGAGTGGGGGTGGGGGGGAGAATTAAAAGAAGACTCAAATCATGTGTTCCTAAGAATTCTACGGAGTCAGGTGCTGGTGGCTAATGCCCATAATCCTAGCTATTCAGAAGGTTGAGATCTGAAGCTTGTGGCTTGAAGCCAGCCTGTGGCTCAAGTGTTCGAGTGCTAGCCTTGAGCAGAGAGAGGCTCAGGGACAGCGCCCAGATCCTGAATTCAAGTCCTACAACCACCACCAACAACAACAAAAAAAAAGAAAAAAAAAAAAGGAAGGGAGGAATTATTTTTTTAGATTGAGATAGCAAATTGGTTCATGCACTAGTTAAATTTTCCTATTTATCCTTGCAACTTCCAATTAGATTCCTCACTGAGGAAATTTCATACTAGAAGCCTACACCTAGTATTCGCCTTATTCATTTAATTACTGTTCTACTGGGGCTTGAATTCAGGGCCTTTTGTTCTGGGTTGGCATTGTGCTCGATGCTGGCGCTCTACCATTTGAGCTATAACTCTACTTCCTCAATATTAGTTTTGTCTTTAAAGAGGAGGCATCCAGGATTCTTGGATTAACCTCATGTTGGAACAGATCAGTACCAAATTAAAATGAATTTCTTAGAACTTTTTATTTATTTTTTTCTTGGCACTAGATATGAGCTATTTTATTTTAAACCAAATAAATATTTTGTTTTAAATCAACTAAACATTGAAGGCTTACCAAGAGTAAGCTAAGGCATTAAAATATTTAATCTTGGCAATGTCTTCTTTTGTTTTGTTTTTCCAATCTGGTAGATTTTTTTCTTTTGTTTTTGTTATTTTTCTTGGCTTGTTTTGGTGCCAGTCCTAGGGCTTGAACTCAGGGTCTGGGCATTGTCTTTGAGCTTTTTGTACTCAAGGCTAATGCTCTACCACTTAAGCCACAGCTCTGCTTCCAGCTTTTTTGGTAGTTAAGAGTCACACACTTTCTTGCCCAGGCTGACTTTGAACCGTAATCCTCGGATCTCAGCCTCCTGAGTAGCTAGGATTACAGGTGTGAGCCACCAGTGTTCAGCTTGGTAGAATTTTATAAATACTGTTGAATAGAAAGTGTGGTAGAAGTTACATATGTGAATTCTACTGTTAAATCTCAAGCCAGGCACCAGTGACTCACACCTGTAATCTCAGCTACTTCAGAGGCTGAGAGCAGAAGCATCACAGTTTGAAGCAAGCTAGGTCAGAGAGCCCCTATATTGAAAATAACCAGCAAATAAACAGGTTTGGAGATGAGGCTCAAGAGCAGCAGTCTAGCTAGCGTGAGGTCATGAGTTCAAGCCCCAGTACACGGTCACCACCAAAACCAAAAAGAGTCCATCTCAAATCTCAAAGCTTAGTACAACAGAAGTTGATGTCTGTCATTCGGGTTCAGTTAGAATAGGCCAGTGTGGCCGGCTGCAGTAGCATTTTCGGTCTGAAAGCCCTTTCCATATGGAGATAGTTGTCTTCAAATCCAGCTTTCTGTTTGTTGTAACATGGAAAAAAAATTAAAACTGAGAAGTCACACCCACCACATGTGCACACACATGCACGTGTGTGTGTGTGTGTGTGTGTGTGTCTGTCTGTCTGTCTGTCCTGGCACTGGGCCTCATGTTCTCACTTGGCTGTCTTGCTCACAGATGGCATTTTACCACTTGAGGCACACCTTTGGTCTGACATTTTGCTGGTTAATTGGAGATAGATTCTCTCAGCCTTTTCTGTCTGGACTGGCTTTGAACCTCAGTCCTCAGATCTCAGCTCCCTGAGTAGCTAGGATTATAAATGTGACTACCGAGGCCCAGCTGAAATGCCATGGACTAGAAGACACCCAGGGCATTTCCATGTCCACAGTTTACTGGCATAGCCTTCTACCAGGAAATACCTAGGAGCGTCGCTGGGCCCCCGCTGCCTGCAATACTGAACCAGAGTGTGAAATTCTGTTCTTTCCCGGTGCTTTCAGTTCTTCATCTTTAAAAAGCAATTAATCCAGTTCTGCATTTTCCCACATAATTCATGACAGGTTCACGTATCTGAAAGAGCTTTAAACTGTATAAGATGTGAATGGATATAATTATTACCAAAATATTGTGGGGTTTTTTTGGTTTACTTTTTGAGGGGTTAGAACTCAGAGCCTTGCAATCTTTTTTTTTTTCTCAAGGTTGGTGCTCTACCACTTGAGCCATACCTCCACTTCCAGCTCTTTGCCAACTACCAGGAATAAGTATCTCATGGACTTTTC